CTGCTGCTGCTACTACTACTATTATTGCTAGTTCTCGTGACTAGTAGCTAATATGTATTATGGCGGAGACGTCGTAATAATTGCTGACGACCGGAACCCGAAAGATACAAGATTTGGCCAGGAGTCGGTCTGTTGAAAGGGATGGGTGTTGTCCCGAAGGAAAACCTGAGGCTTCCGACAAGTCTTAGGACGATTAGAGCCCAAAGACACAATGTGTTTAGGAGGACTCGGTCTTAGCAGGAAAATCCGAGCCTTCAGAGAACTCGCACATCCCGGAGCGGCTGCACTTCACCAGCATGTCTAAGATGTAGGAAAAATTGCAAAGGCACGGCAGTCCGCCTTCTCCNNTGCCAGCACATGGACTGAAGTTTGCGGTGCCGCGACTGTAATGGGCCGACAGGGTGCTTGGGGTCTCCTAACTGGGAGCTTTGGTGGTTCCAGCAACGGCAAGTATCTGAAGCGCCGCCAAGTGTTTCTCCGCAGAGCGCACACAGCCTCGAGGTGGAAGTCCAAGGGGAAGTCACAGGGTCTCCGCCTCAGGGCTGTCTCGCATGAACGTATTCTCGCTCACTCTAGACGCTGAGGGAGCTACGCACGCAACGCTCTCCTGCTGGTTTAGGGTTGTCCAGGTGCTGAGATGTGCTGTGATTCTTGTTAGCCTACTGGATCTTTGTGCAGTGGGCAAGCCCAGACCAAGCCTCTGAGACCTGGTATAATGCGAATCGGGGGCCCTCACGTCCTCCACGGAAGAGCGAAGGCCTGCGCTGTTTTGTTTGCATGAAGACATGCAAGTGTCGAAGCTTGGTTTATTCTTCCGTGGGATTTGGAAGGTGAGATTTGCCAGCACGGAACAAATTTGTGTGGACTCACTGCATGTGTGCACTCTGCAAAACAGGACGAGTGCCAAGCCTCTTGTGGCCGGCGGGCGCCCCAGCAAAAGTCCCAGACCTTGACCCCAGAAGCCAGCTGCAGAGGCAAAACACAGTGTCTGGGCTAGAAGTCCTGATTCCGACAGACTCTCGGGTTGCCGAGTGCAACCCACGGAGTGCACACAGCCTCGAGGTGGAAGTCGACGGCGAAATCACAGAGGGCGGGTCTCCGCCTCAGAGTGGTCTTGAATGAACTTGCTGTCGCTCAGTCTCTATCAAAGTCAGTCTGCAAGACCAGACAAGCTGCTAGGGACCCCAGTTTCTCCACACTGGATCCGGCCGCTGGAAGCTGTTTCCCCACTGAGTGCAGACTGCCTCGAGGTGGAAGTCCACGGGGAACTCAGAGGGTCTCAACCTCAGAGTCGCTTGCAGTGAACGCTTTCTCACGGACTAGCTGTGTCAGCTGTGTCATCTGAATCTGCATCAGTCTGCAAGAGAAGAGGCGCTGTATCTCGGAAGGGCTCGGGTGGATCAAGCGGACACGTGTGACGGAGCATGTGTGAGTATGTAGATTGTATATGTACTGGTATCAACAATGTGGCCGTGTCTAGCCAGACATGCAAGCCCTCAAGACTCCGACACTTGCGTGAGAAAGGTTGTCCACTGTCCCGGAAACAATTAATTCTTGCAGTTGCGAGTAGTGACTGCGCAAACAAGGATATCTTACAGACTAAGTTCTCAACACTCCGACACTTGCATGAACACAGCAAAAACTTTCATGACTGCCCAAGCCAGCACACCAGCACTAGCACCTGAGCAGCACCAGCACCGGAGCAGCACCAGCACCGGAGCAGCACCAGCGCCTCAGCAACACCTGCACCTGAGCAGCAGCTGAGCAGCACTAGCACGTGAGCAGCACCAGCACCTCACTATGCAGCAGCTTTAGTGCTAGTCTTCTGTAACTTCTGCGGAAGCAAGCAAGTAAGACAAGTGGCACGCATGCTCGCATCAGTAGGCTTGCACTCGACTTCCTGGTAAGAATGGCCTGGACATGGAACCGCTCGGACTGGGGCGATGGCTGGCAGGGCTGGAACGAATGGGAATGGTCTGATGACAGGGGTGCCACAAGTGGTGGCCGCGGTGGTGGCCGTGGCAAAGGCGGCCGCACTGGAGCGGCGGCGACTGGCAAAGGTGGCCGCACTGGAGCGGCAGCGAGTGGCAAAGGTGGCCGCACTGGAGCTGGAGCGAGTGGCAAAGGTGGCCGCACTGGAGCTGGAGCGGCGGCGAGTGGCAAAGGTGGCACTGGAGCGGTGCCCGAAGGTGGCACAGCTGGCCACAGTGGAACTGGAGCGGTGCCCGAAGGTGGCACAGCTGGCCACAGTGGAGGGCTTCCGCCTCACTGGAGGCA